CGGGGCTAGCAGGGCCCGGAGCCCCGAGGAGGTGGCCAGTGCTGGCCCTCGCAGCCGCCTGTGGATTGGCTGACTGCTCCTCTTTGGAGAGCTCGTGCTCAAAACGAGAAAGCGGGAGACGTCAGAGCCTCGAACAATCGAGCACAGGTCTGTGCTGTGAGTCCCAGAAGCAGGTGAGTCCCGAGAGGACTGTGCAGGGAGCTGCAATCGCAGGCTCCGCGAGTGGTGGGGCCTGGGCCTCCTGCCCTTCAAGCAGATGCGGGGCCAGCGGGCAGGAGGGGCCCACGTGCTGGGAGGACAACGCCACAGCCATCTCCGCATTCCCAGCCGAGGCAGCAGAAGCCTCCTTTCCGCTGAGTCACCGACATTCACTTCCCCACCCCTGCAGCCCACGGGCCACTTACCGAGGGGATCTGAGCCTGCCGTGGTCGCCCGCCGCCGAGGCCGGGGACTTGGCCAGGCCTGCGTCCTCCGGGACCTCGGTGTGGGCGGGGCCGACCTCGGGCCCACTGGACCCCTCGCTCACGCCTTTATTCCGATGATACTGCAGGGAACGGACACGGGTTGGATGCTCAGGGTTTGGCTCTGAGGCCTGGGCAGGCAGGAGGGGGCCTTGGCTGGATTCCGGGCCTTTCAGGGGACATGAAAGAGGCTTCTTTTCAGGGGTGAGACTCGAGGCCTGTCTGGTGCCGGCGCTCCTTGCATGATAATGACATTGAATAATGCCTCTCTTCAGAAGGGAGCTGCCCGGTGCGAGGCCGGACTGGGCCGGAGAGCTGCTCTACATTCTGGTCCCAAAGGGACGCACGGCCCGCGGGCGATCAGAGGCTGACGTCCTGAGTGGGCCCGTCGCTCTCGGCCACCCCACCCTCGCCGCCAGCTGGAGAAACTTGAACTTCCAGACACCTGCGGCCAGAGAGGCGGCCGGGCCTTTTTTTGCCCCTCCCTCCTCTGGATAGCAGTGAGGCCTGCCTGAAGGACCCAGCAGGATGTCAGCAAAGGGTGGGCAGCCCCACCCGTTCTGAGAAAACTTGTCTGGTGGGCAGTGCTTGCCCCCAGCCGGCTGGTGACCTTTGAGGGAAGGGTCAGCCCCCGTTTGTGTGCCCGGAGCCAGGAGCGCGCTGAGGTGGGGATGCCGTGTGCCCTTCAGACTTCACTCCCCAGGGAGCCTGGGCGAGAGGCAGGGGGAGGACCGCGAGGAGATGTGCCCACTCACTGCCCCACATTCCTGTCCCCAAGCCTTCCTCCTGCCCCGGCTCTCCCTCAGCCCGATCCCGTGGCCCAGGCTGGCCTGCCTCTGGAGAGGGATGGCTACAGGACAAACCGCCCACACGCGCCCACACCAGCCGGGGGCTGAGGGCTCCCTGGGCTCCCGCACCTCCCACGGCACCATGCACCCTGGGAACAGGGCAGGGATGCTCTGAGACACGCCTTTGGCTGCGCCGGTCTGTCGAGCTGGCCGAGAGGCTCCCATCCCTGGGAAACCTGTGTGGATGTCAAGGAATCCTCCCCAGAGGTGACCAAAGCCCCTGCCCCCAGCACCACCGGCACCGCAGGAAGGGGCGACAGAGCCCTCGTGCCTGACAAGCAGCCCAGGCTGCGCCCTCGAGGGGTTCGGCCAGGGCAGCGTATCTTCAGGAGCTCATGCCTGAGATGCCTTTACTGAGCATCCACCGTGATGATGCTGCTATGGCCGGTGTCTCCTCAAGGGGAGAAAACTGGAAAATGATGGCGCAGTGGGACGAGTCTGGCTCGGGGATGCACGGGGCGTTCGGAGAGTGCCCAGGAGGGGTACCTAACAGAGAACTGGGGCCCCGGAGCTTCCCAGGGGGGCTCATGCTAGGTAAGACCTAACGGCTGAGAGGCAGCTGGCCAGGCAGGGTGTGGGGGAGGAGAGGGAAGGACCCCAGAGGTGACCAAAGCCCCTGCCCCCAGCACCACCGGCACCGCAGGAAGGGGCGACAGAGCCCTCGTGCCTGACAAGCAGCCCAGGCTGCGCCCTCGAGGGGTTCGGCCAGGGCAGCGTATCTTCAGGAGCTCATGCCTGAGATGCCTTTACTGAGCATCCACCGTGATGATGCTGCTATGGCCGGTGTCTCCTCAAGGGGAGAAAACTGGAAAATGATGGCGCAGTGGGACGAGTCTGGCTCGGGGATGCACGGGGCGTTCGGAGAGTGCCCAGGAGGGGTACGTAACAGAGAACTGGGGCCCCGGAGCTTCCCAGAGGGGCTCATGCGAGGTAAGACCTAACAGCTGAGAGGCAGCTGGCCAGGCAGGGTGTGGGGGAGGGAAGGGAAGGCGTGAGCGTCAGGCTCGCGCACAGGCCTGGAGTGGGGAGAGAGCAGGGCCGAGTGAGGAGCTGAATGGCATCGCTGTGGCCAGAGCGTGCAGGAACCGGAGGGGCGAGGAGAAGGCGCTGGAGGGGTGGCAGCAAGAGCTGGTCACATGGGGCCCTGCCGGCCGGATGAGGAAGTGTGGCTTCCTGCTACCTGGGATGTGAGTGTGAAGGCTGCTCTCCAGCCACCACCTTGGACCATGAGGAGGAGGGGATGAGCTGGAAGGAGCCTGGGCCCTTGAGGACTGGGTGATGGGGAGCCAGGGACAGGTTTTATGCAGAGCAGGGGGACAGTCAGGTTTGTACCTGGGAGGGGACAGGTGTGTGCAGGATGAGCGGGGGGCAGGTGGAAGCAGGCAGGGTGCGGTGCTCCCTGGGTAAAGGCAGGCGGAAGGGTGTGGACGGGGCTGAGATGTCTGTGGATGGCGGATGGACGGGCCAGGACTGGGAAATGGCTGCTGGGCCGAGCCAGAGCCCTACTCACCTGCACACTGAGCTGCCCGATCTCCAACTCCAGCCGCCGCACCTTGGCCTCCCGCTCAGCCACCATGGCCTGCAGCTGGGCCACCAGGCTGCTGCTCTGCTGGGCCTCGTTGTTGAGCTGCTGGTCCAGGTGGTGCTGGGAGGCTCGCGTCTTTTCCTCCTGCAGACTCAGGCTGCCCAGAATCTCCTGTAGCTGCTTCAGCTGGACCTGGGGGGCCGAGCAGGAGGGCAGGCGAGGGCCAGCCACGGCCCCTGGGTAAAGAAGGACAAGGGGCGACCGACCCCCCCACTCCCCACCAGCACCCCACCATGCCCTGGGCCTGCAGGGGCCTCACTGGGACACTGTGTTCCCTGGGAAAGCACTCGGGCAGGTGAGGGCCAGGCCCTTTTCCTCTCCTCAACTTTCTTCTCCCTGAGGTCGGGGCCAAGGACATCCAAGGGGCTCTCGGGACAACGGGAAGCAGCTCAGATGGTGGCCCCTCAGCGGGGGGACATTTGGGCAAAACGAAACCCTACCCCCCTCTGCTGGGAGACTGCCCTTGCAGGCAGTACCCGGCACCCTCGCCAGGAATCCTTCGGCACCTGCCGGAGGCCCCATCCCCCTGAGATGCCCCAGAGGACACTCTGAGGTGGAAGTGTCCTGCCTACGGGCCAGGAAGGACCACGTTGGTGACACGGAACAGGAGGGGGCTGCTGTCCTCACCTCACAGTGGAGGGAGATGGGGCTCGGGGAGCCCAGGGGCACTGCTGGTGAATGGCAGGGCTGGGCTGGGCTGGGTTGCAGTTCTCATCGTGCCACCTTCAGTGACCAAGGATGGTGGCACACTGGGCCTTCAGAGGACACCCAGCCCGGCACCTTATTGCAAAACAGGGAGCTGAGGCTCAGAGCGGGAAGGCAACTGGCCTAGGATCACACAGTGAGGTGTCAACAGAGGCAGGCCCGGATCTCAGGTCTCCCCCCCGAAATGATCACGGACTGGGGGCGGTGCCTATGCCTGCATCCGTTCCCCCAGGTACCCCGGCCAGCCAGGCATGACCACCGAGGGCACAACTTGGAATTCAGAGTCAAAACTCCGGGGTGCCGCAGGCCCCGGAAAGAACAGGCCAGGCTGGGGTCAGAGCCGCAGAGCGGCGCTGCTCATCAAAGGCTTCACAGGCAGATAAACTCGGTTGTATGGTCTTGGGTGACTCATCTAGCCAACTGGAGTCTTAGTTTCCCCGTTTGTGAAACCGGGTTGTAATAGAGACCCTCGGGGTTATCTTGGGGACTAACCATTACAAACTGCTCCCCAAGGGCCCAGAGGGGAGGGGCTCCACGTTGCCACACGGACAAGAATCTGTGCTGGCCCCTCAGTTGTCCCTCCCACTCCCTGATGAAAAATAACCCAAGGGTCATCCTATTCCTCCGCCCTCACCCTTTTCTTTCTGCTTTGGCGTCCGCAGGCCTGGTGGCTTGTGCCTGACATCCGTCTCATACACCGTGACCTCTAGACGCCCTTGGGCAGCTTCTGAGCTGCTCCTGCCCCTGGGGTGAGCATCTGGAGGCCATGGGCTGCGGGGTCATGCAGGTGGCATTTGGGGTCGAGTGAGGGCTCGCAGGGGCTGGGCCGGGCCGATCGCAGGCTTCGGGGAGGGGCCGTACCATGAGGGCATCGATGAGCTCGTCGTCATGCCGGCCCTTCTCCACCAGGGTCCCCATTTGACTCCTGAGGGTCTTCACTTCGCTCGCCAGCACCTTGTTCCGGGACCTCACGCCCTCAAACTTCTTCTTCAGCTCTTCGAGCTCTCTCTGGAGGGCGTCCCGCTCAGCGGCCAGTTTCTGGAACCAGAAAGTGCAGTCCTGGGCAGGGCGGAGCGGGCCCCCCAGCACATCGGGTGCCTCGCTCCCGCTCACTGGGAGGCGATGCCCGAATGGGAAGGGGACTTGTCCAAGGCCATAGAGCAAGTCAGTGGAGCCGGGGCCCTGACTCCAGGCCTTGCCCGAGCACAGGGCGGACGGCACCGTGGATGCCAGCACTCCTTCCTCGGCTCAAGCTCCAGGAGCTGCCCCTGCTCTGCCAGAGTCAGACTGAGAGGAAGCACACGGCCACCTCTGGGCACCTCTGGCTCTGTTCCCCCCCCCCGCCCCCCCTCAGCTGGGATGAGAGGAGAGCTGTGCTTCCATGATGCAGGCCCCGGGGGTGATACCAGGCCGCCCACCTGCCCCAGCGCTGCTCCTTTAAGGCCATCTGGGCCCTGCACACCTCTGGGGCCGGGACACTTCCCCTCTCCTTTTACAATGGACGTTTCAGATCCAAACCTCCCAATCGGCCAGGATGGGGCCACCCAAGGCCATGAAATGGGCTCAGCCTGAGGACCCAGTCAGGCGGCTCCAGCTGATCTCAGGATGTGAGGAACATACACAGCGGCGACCCCAACCCCCGGGTCTCCTGCCTCTAAGGGGTGCCTCCGAGTCCTTGCAGGGGCGTCATGATCCCCGGGCCCCACCGCCCTCCCCGGGGCGTGCATTACCTCCCAGCCTTCCTGCTTTTCCCTTTCCAGGTTGCGGATCCTCAGCAGGTTTTTCTCCTGTGCCGTCAGCTTCCTCGGGTCGGGACAGACGGACAGCTCGTCACTGGCTGCTCCCACAGACTGGCTCTGGGTCTGTCCCAGCTGCTTCTCAAGCTCTCGAACCTGAGGGGGGTTAAGACTCGCTGTTCCACGGCCGGTCTGCCGTCAGACTCGACTGCTCGGAGGGCCACCCTGAGGGGTGACGGGGGACCCCACCAGGCAGAGGACACCACAGTTCCAGATGGATGTGGAAGCCCCAGAGGAGGGGGGCTGGGGAGGGGAGGGATCTGAGGTGGCACCTTGAGCAAAACAAGAGAAGACACTAGCGAGGGTCAGCTTGGAAATGGGAAGCATCAAAGTCAATGAGAAAGATCGCCCCGTCTCCGAGGGCCTTGAGGCCGAGAAGCAGATGTGTAGCCCCAGGAACCCAGGAGGGAGAGGACAGAGGACCTCAGCTAGAAGAACTCTGACAGACAGACCACCCAAGACGTGCGTGGTGTACTCCTCGGGCGGCCCGGGGTCCTGGCCACGTGCGAGAGATGCCGCAGAGGGAGGGCAGGGATGGGAGGCTCAGAGGCCAGCTCAGCCTCACTGAACTTCTCTGAATCTCAGATCTCTCGTCTGTGACATGGCCCTACGGGTATACCCTGAGCTTGTCTGAGCCCGGGAACCCCCAGGATGCTCCTTGGAATGACAAATCCTGGGGCCCACTCCAGACCAACACGTCAGAGCGCCAGGGGCAGGGCCTGTGGGACCTGCGTGGAAAACAAGTGCTTTGGGAAATCCTACGGTGGCCCAGGGGCAGCCCTCAGCGCTGGTCCAGCTCTGCTAGGCTCTCGGCAAGTGGCAGGCGGGTGGCTTATCACCCTGGGGTTGGGGTGGGTAATTCCCAGGGTCCTTCTAACCCTGGTTCCCATGTCGACATAACATAAATGATGGAATAAAGTTGGGTAAACCTGAGCAGGTGGGGGCGGGCTGGTGCGGGGTGCGGGGGCAGCAAAATTCACCAGGCTCACTGGCAAAGGGTAGCAGTGAGGCCGTGAAAGCGCATGTCAATGCCCTCGTGTGGCGTTGTGCGGTGATTCCATTGAGCATTAAGGAACACAGGACTACTTTTAAAAGTTTATTTACGCAACTTAACAACAACAATGATGGCTGTGTGGAGTGCTTATAATGTCCAAGCACTGTGCTTTACAGATGTTATTTCACTGAACCCCCAACAACCCATGAGAAAAGGACTGTCGCCTCCATTTTACAGGTGGGGAGACTGAGGCACAGAGAAGTGATTTGCCCAAGGTCACAGAACTTGTAGACCAGCGGCTCTGGCCACACTCAGACTCGAGTCTCTTGAACCCCCAGGCCCCACACTGGTCACTAGTTATAGTTTTCTGAGGGCCTTTCCCTCCTCGGGTTGGTTTCAAGGATCCCACAGGAGCCCCCGAGGATAATAGCCACCCAGGAGCTGTGACCCCGAAGTCCCTGGGATGAGGGCAAAGTGCTCGGCAGCTGTGGTAGTTATACACCGACTGGTGTTTCTTGGTTTGAAGGCAAAAAGGAGGAAATTAAACACAGCTAACCTCGGTCCAGCGCTTCCTCGGGCCTGGCGCTGTGCTGAACACGTTACACACCCCGGCTCCTTCAGTCCTCCCAACCGCCCGGTGGGGGAGGTACTAGCAGAGTCCAGTGTTTGCAGATGAGGAAACTGAGCACAGAGAGGGGAAGTAACTTGCCCGAGGCCACACAGCTGGTGAGGGGAGAGCTGGGATTTGATCCAAGCAGTCGGACTCCCCCTGCTCTGAGCCTCTAGGGAGGCTCCGAATGTTGAGAACGGAAAGAGAGAGACGAGGCTAAGTTTTTACTGGGTATTAAAACTTTCAAAAGTCTACGAGCATCTGGACAAAACTGGGAAAAGCCTACAAGCGCGCCAGTCACGCAAGTTTACACGAACTGGGGGGGAAACGTGCCTGGAGGCGAATAAATCAGAGGCCTTGGCTCTGAAGCGCCAGTGCCTGCCACATGGTCTACGAGCATCTGGACAAAACTGGGAAAAGCCTACAAGTGCGCCAGTCACGCAAGTTTACACGAACTGGGGGGAAACATGCCTGGAGGCGAATAAATCAGAGGCCTTGGCTCTGTGAAGCGCCAGTGCCTGCCACATGGCAACGGTTACATAAATGCTTGTTCACTAAATGACAAATTGAAATCAGGCTGGTTGGGGAGAACGGGAAACGACAAGCCTGCGGGGGGCCTTTTGGGGGTCCTGTGTCTCGGATGTGGGTCCGTGGGGGTCTTTCGGGGGCATTTCAAGCCCTCTGGCCAGGGCCGGGAGAAGTCTGACTCACTCACCTTGCTCTGCAAAACGAGAATCTGTTGAGCCCGACCTCTCCAGGTCCCTGGCGAGGACAGAAGCTGCTGGATGTTCACATCTTCCCCAACCTCGCTGGCCAGCACCTGGAAAGGGCGCGGCCTTCAGTGTGGCCGGGAGAGAGGGCCCCGCCTGTTCGGAGGCAGAGCGGGTGCGTGGGGCTCCCAGAAGGCCCGGCCTCTGCCTGC